ATTTTAGGCGGAGAATGCTTAGGCGGGAGAATTTTCTCTCTCCAGTGTAGTATTTTAGGTATATGATAGGCGGAGAATGCTTAGACGGGAGAATTTTCTTAGGAGAGACGTATAACTCGTATTTTTTTCGTGGAAAGTGAAAATACATTTTAGGATTTTAGGCTTAGACAGGAGAATGTTTTCTCTCCAGTGTAGTGTTTTTAGGTATATGATTTTTTTTTCAGAAAGTGAAATTATATTTTAGGATTTTAGGCGGAGAATGCTTAGGCCGTTAGGTGGGAGAGTTTTATCTTTCCAGTGTAGTGCTTTTAGGTATAGGATGATTTTTTTGCAAAAAGTGAAATTATATTTTAGGATTTTAGGCGGAGAATGCTTAGGCCGTTAGGTGGGAGAGTTTTCTCTCTCCACTGTAGTGCTTTTAGGTATAGGATTATATATTAATATTTATTTTATTTACTTTTCTTTTAATTCCAAATTACAAAAGAAAATATTTACTTTATTTAATAATAAATACATCTTATTTAAGTATGATAAATCTAATTTATCTTACTTAATTAATTCTATCAAATAGAACTCTCCTTCAACTTCATGAATTAAATATGTTTAATCTAATTAATATTTAATTCATTTTCAGTATTACGAATTAAATATTATTTAATCCAATTAATAATATTTAATTCCTTCTAACAATTCAATCGGAAGGTATAATCACTTGTTGTGTGACCCATATGGCCTTATATATTAAGCACTAATCAAATTAAGGTCTCAGCGAATCTCTAGACGATTCTCCAGGCAAACTTAACATATAAGGACGTTTGCGAGGACTATTCAAACTCCCTGTAATATAGAGTTCATAGTGATACGCCCCTTTCATTCAACAAACATTCAACTAAGTCTAGAACATGATATTGTGTCTATTCCAATAACTTAGTTTCTGTCTCTCAATCTTTCTAGATGATCCATAACGATCATATTCGATATCCAAAACGAATATATCTTTGCATTGGCCAATGACTTTATGATCCATCTAGATATGAGAACTAGAATGTTCTCTCTTGATCTATTACGAGGAATGAATCCTTTCTTGGCTCAACTACTACTCCATATGCTTCGTGATGCACCCAACACATGCCGTATCTACCCCGATTGGAGTGCAAGCGTTGGTCATGGTCAAAGTACATCACTCCACACATGTAGTACGTATTGACCTCAAGTCGAAGGACTATTACACTACTCTATACGCCGATAATCCCATAGACACATGAATAGAACTTATCAAATGGTTTATCGGTGGGTATGCCAATATTCTCTAAAATGTGACCATCATGAATTACAGGAACTCATAGTTGTGAGATCAACTATACTTTATAAAAGTATGATGCAGTCCACATATCAATCTTATCGCATGTCATCAATATCTCATTTTTGATGATCATTGATTGGGGCTATTTTAGGACCTTATGTTATATCATATAAGCTCCCACTTACTTATTGACAACATAAGTCCAATTGAAAACATTTATTGAAAGTGAACATGAGAGACGAAGAGAAGAGACCACCAAATGCAACCCGTAAAGAAGTGTTTGTAACATGTAGCCTTAATAATATTGTACGGGGTACAAGGTACAAATTTTGATAAACATTATGCCACTTTTGTCACATATATAATCTGTTTTGTAATATCTAATTATAACATTGACTTTTCCTATCAAGTTGTTTAATAATTTGATATTGTCTTGCATTTTCCGTAACAAATGCTCATATATACTTCGTTGGGAATAATGACACCATGGATCGCACATGTGCTATAATAAAAATGACTTTTATATACTTTTGTAATTATAATAGTGATTTTAATAGTCATTATTAGTTTTATATATGGTGACTATACATGATAACATGTTTAGCGCCTCTTTGTTTACACCAAAATGAAATGAAAAGGCTGAAACAGTTGGGATTGATAAAATTCTCTCCGGAAAGAGTGAATTGCCTGTCTCTGCGGATGAGTTATGGACAATGGCGGATCCCTTTTGTGCAAAGGTGTTCATGTGAACACCCAAAAAATTAAAAATTAAATGTTAAAATATACATATAGAATTGATGTAATAATTTATATAGTGTATTTTTAGATAATATATCTTGCATTTAATCTTATTTTCCATTTTGTTGATGTTGAAAAAGTAATATATATTCATTTGTTGGATCGAAAGATTTATGTGTTCAACATTTTGATGATAAATTAATTTTGAACACCCAACTTTTGAACGCAAGATCCGCCACTGGTTATGGAAAACCTAAATTTAAATTATATTTTATTAATGAAATAAATTGTAGAAATATCCTAAAGGGCGGGTCCTTATATTAACTTTAGTCAATTTAGCAAGAATAGTAACATTAACCTTACTTGTTTTTATTATTACAAAATTCGGCTCATAAAATAAAAATTATGGGGTTCATGAAAGAATTGACTGACTGGGTTATAAATTGAAAACAAATGACCAAACGAATTCTTATAGTAATTTTAATTACACAACGTTGAAAAGAAAACGATTACAATACTAAATAATTCAAGTAAATAGTTGTCTACATTCGAATATAATTGTGTGCAACAATTAGTGCATGATGGTATTATTGTGAGTATGTTTTTATTTAAAAATAATTATAATAAATCTATATATTGTGTCCTTTTTAAGGAGAGTTGGTTAGGGAACCTTAATATGAGATGTATAAAATGTAAGTATGAAACTATGAACTTTAACTTAGGAAAGGAGAATATTATTATAGTCATATTAAAAAATTATGAAATATAATATTAGATCAGTTAAAATATGAAATCATAAAATGCTTCCTTTTTAATGGTGATACATAGTATCAATAGATTTTTGACCTTTTTAGCGACAAAAAAATTCTAAAATATATAGTCCCAAATATCTAACGACAAAAATATGAAGGAACATATATAGTCACTTATATAGTGATGACAAAATTCAATATTTTGTCACATATATAGTCACAAATATCTAACGACATAAATTTTTTACTTTTATAACGACAAAAATTTTTAATATGAAGGAACTCTTTAAGATACACCAATCTTCTTTTTAAGATGGGACTGTATCAATATTTAAAAAATACCATTAGCCATAGGCACATGTACATATTCATTGTTCTTAGAGATACAAATTGTATTGATCACAAAAACTTATTCAATGTGATGATGATAGATCATATAGAAGAGGTCACCAATGTGGTCTATAAATAAGTGTTTTGTATGCATTCTTAATTATACGATACAAAACTTGATGCTCATTATATATCAATTTTGTCCCAACTTTAATCCATTTTGTATTGTTGAACTATTAGATTCATTTCTTAGCTCACCTCATGTTATTTAACAATTTCTCATTGTCTTACATTTTCCATAACAACAATAAGTACACTTAATTATTTGAAAATGATCACTCACTATGCATCGCACGGTACTATACTAGTTACTTAAAAAATAAAAGAAGAATATAGTACTAAAATTTATGACAGAACATATAACAAACATTATGGTAACGTGTTCTTAAAAATAGGATGGCACTTCATCCCTGAAGGCCCCCAAAAGGGTGTAAGTTGAGCTATGACCACAGTGACCTTAGGGGATGTAAGTTAAGCTATGATCACACTCTGATGGAAAGAGAGTAAGATTTCATCCCAAATCATTGCTTAATGTTGAACCCGAGACCTCTCCCTTGTGGCACCCTCTTCCTACCAGGTGAACTACGTCCCCCGGTATGACGATGTGTACCTAAAACATTAGAGGTTGAGGTTATTGATATTGTTGTATCTTTATTATGTATTGTTTTACTTTTAATTATTTTCTTTGTTTGTGGTTGTTGAAATTACACACTTTTGGTGTAATTAGTTTATTTTCCTAAATAGGTGTAATTTGTTTAGATTTGGATTATTCTGAGCTTAAAACAGGTCAAGATCATCCAAAGGATCAAGATTGGACCATAAAAAATCAAAGAAAGTGCAAAGGGGCAAGACAGGAAGAAGATCGGAAAAATTAGTCATATACCCATCCGATATAGACAATATTCGATCAGGTATTAAGTTGATTCAGATGTCAAAATCAGAATCTGGAGAACAAACTAACGCGCAGGATATTTTGATGATTTGGCTAATGCCCGGTCGGGTATTAGTTTAGGTATACCAACATACATGATAGGGTATGTCCTGGAATGTCACTTTCCGGGAAACTGCGATCTGATACTCGATCGGGTAGTTATTAAGTAAATAGAATGCACTAAATATAGAACCTTAAATTTTAGACATTGTTTTATATCCCGACATTGGACCGACTACAAGTACCAAAATAGATGGATACGAACAGTAAAATGTAAGAGATAACATTACAAGCATCGTTGTAGCATTATTCTCTAGCATGATAAGTTCATCCTCAAAATGCTTGGATAGCTGATAACAGTTAGAAGTTGAGGTATCACGACCGATTATGAATTCTATCAATTTACAAATAGGATATTCTCTTGCAATAATATTCATTGCATTCAAAACTCAACATTAGTAGACATAAACGAATATCGATTTTGACTCCATTAGCTCTCGACCTTTTCTCAGTTCCCAATTTGTTCCAAATATATACAAATGTGGATCATCATAATGTCTAAATTAGAGAATGCTCTTCACTTCTTTGTTCCCCATACAAAATCAATTCGACTTCATTCAAACTTTATTTCATTTTTAGGTGTTCCGAAATTCACTTTCCTTTTCTACTTTGCGATTTACAGTTTCCAAACCAATCTATTGCGTTTGTGTTTGAGGACTTTGGAAGAAAGTGAGTGAAGTAGACAAAGCTGCGAGACATCTTAAGTACCTGAAAGTCACAAACTATACCATTTTGGTCATTTCTTGGTTTACTTTTAGCCCTCTTTTTCAATCCCGAAGAATAACATTCGATCTCTTTAGCCAATTCAATACTGAAAAATAAAAAGACAGGTATAAATCTGTTCATCCAAAATTGAATCAAACCTTGAAACAAGTAACCATCTGTCAGATTTGGTCATTGGCATATATAGTGACCAGTTTTCTCCATCAGAAAAGCAACATTAAACGAAACGTTTTCCCTATTACATGTCTGCAGAACCCTCTCCTAATAACCTCTTCCATCTAGCTAATTAAGTAATTAACTAAAAGAAGCAAGAAAAGGGAAGTGTTCCAATGCAAAATTAAAAGTGATCTATAAGAGCATCATCACATCACAGGTTAGAACGGCAGCCAGACCATTGTATGTGGGTTTAGTTCTTTCCGGTGAGAGGATTTTCTCCTCAGCTTTCCTCTTATTATCCACCATCAACGTTGACTGTTCCTTTTCGGCCTCTTCTTGCGGTTCTGGGTCCCGCAGCTCAACGTCCATTTTTGCACACTGTGATGTGACATCTTCTTGTTGTTGCAGAAGAGGCTGCTGTGTTGTAGGTGGTTCTTGGCTCTGTTGTTCATCATGTTCTTTCTCAGGATCTTTAGATTTTGTTTTCATCATATGAGGTTTAAGCTTATTCACATCTGATAACCTCACTGGTTTCAGAAAAAACTCTTCTGCCCCTTCTTCCAAGCATCTATAAATATTATACATAAATTAAAAAGGGAATTATTAAGATTATTCATTCTATATGTGTGTGAGTGTGTGTGAAGAAAGGGAGATTCTTCTCACTTGTTTCCAGTTCTTACCTGCTGATTCTTGAAGGAACATTCTCAGATGACATAATGACCACAGGTATATTTTTCAGAGATGATGATTCCTGTTACATACAGCAAAAAGCTTATATATTGAATTGATATATTAAAACCGTTTCTGGAAAAAAATCAAACTACCACAACTCCACAAACAAAAACTTCTGCAAGAATGACTTCAAATTAGGGAAGCCTGCTAAATAAATCAGGTATTCCTTCTCCTAACTTTCTTTAAATGAAGGTGTAATGCTCTTTATACGGAGTACTTATATTGGCATCAAAATCACACTTTTTACACAAATTTAGCAGCAATGTAAAGGGAATGGGATCTAAGAAGGAACATTAGCAGCAAGAACAGAAACAAGGAAATAGAAGAAGGAAAAAGTGGGGAAAGCATACATAAGAAAAGAAAAAACAAAACTAAGAAAAGATATCACTTTTGGTATTACTACTTTTAGGTTATCTCATCCTCACTTTTGACTCCAAACTTCCATTTTTCTATTTTTAGTGTCACAAATATAGTTTTTGGTCCTTTTAACCACTTGTTTGACCAGTTTCAATACTATTTTTGGTTGATTTTTACCAAATAAGTGGCCGAAAATGAACATAATGAAAAAGAAAAAAAAAGTCGTTTGACAAAGGTGGAAAAATGGATAGTCTGGATAGAAATTGAGAATGACCTGGTCAGGGACCCAAAAGGGGTTTTTTCTGAAATTAAATGCCATACCTTTATTTTCTTGAGTAAATCATAGCCTGTCATCCCAGGCATGCAGTAGTCTGTAATTATAAGGTTGACTCCCATTTCCTGCAAGTCCCATTGAATAACAAGCATTTCACACAATTTGCAGAGATTATTCAAATAAAGAAAAGAACCCCAGAAATCCAAGATGAAAAATCATCAAATTAAAGTAAAAAGGAAGAAAATTTGCCTGGTGAACAACAGATGGTTGGGCTGGGCTGGTGTGTTCATCATGTTCATGTAAACCCAGAAATTCCAAGGCCTTACTACCAGAATCTACCGCAGTCACTGTATATAACAAGTGAAAAAAGAAATTAAAAACAATAAACACTAAAAAAGAACAGAACCAAAATCACTTTGATATAAATTAACCCAAACAATGTGTGAAGCCACTAACCTTGACAGGAGTTGGTTTTAAAGAGCCTTTCAACGAGCTTTCTGTCTACAACGCTATCGTCAACAGCAAGAACATGAAATTGCGACTCTGCTCCGCTCATACCCATTGCTTCTCCAATTCCTTCAATTTCTTGCTCTATTGTTTTCAAGAATATTTATGGAGAAATAACTAAAGATGCCGACTTTGTATAGAATCAAAAGACCCACCAACCGGAATCCACTAACAACCTAAAACAGATCTCCAAGATTTTCCCAATCTGGATTCTGAATTAACCCGCAAGGCAAGCAATGGGAAATGCCAACCTATTTATAATACTCCGTAGATATATATAGATACACATATATATTCCACTAATTTAAAAAGATTGCATGTCCAGAAAAGTGCTTACAAGTACTGCATTTTATTGGCTGAAGAATGATTCTTTGGAGGGTGGCTTTTATATATACTTGATTTTTCACTCATATTTAACAAGATTTTGTATTTTTTTAGTCAAGTGTGCTTATGAAAAGGAAGGTTTCCGGGACCTAGTGTGAATGGAAAATATTATTCCTATCTCCTAAATCTAAATATTAATATACCTATTTGATTTTTTTGGTTAAAATTTCATAAAATTTAATAAAATATAAATATATTTATAAAATGGCACTGCCTCCCTCAACTCTTTGTTTTCTTACTTTCCTTTTAGGAAGTTGCTATACAACGTGGAATCTTTCTTTTCCTTTGGGTAAAACATGTGTCATTGTTGTCTTATCCATTATTCGTATGTAATTTTCTACCTTGTGATTTTTTTTCTTAATTTGTATTCCGTATTAAGTACTCCGTATAAGGTAAATCGAATCATTTTTTTTATTGAATACATAAATCTTTTGTAGAATCAAATTGACGGAAATAATAGTAAATCACAAGAATTACAAAAAAATCTCAATAATAATTACCCAAAAAGAAAAAAGTTACGAGAATAGGTTAATACGAGTAATATAAATTCAACTCATATCTTAAAAGTATCCGTGTATGTTTGTGATTACACAAAAACAATTAAGGATAAGTACAAAAAACTGCGAAAAATTGGAGTCTGAGATTCATTGTTTCACAAACTGAGACATGTATTTTCAATTTGAAGGTTTTCATCTGAACACCGTAAAAAAGAAAGCAATGTAGATGTATAAAATGTGAGAATAATTATCAGGCTTAACCATAATGGTAGCCATGACAGATATATATAAAGAGAATAAATGTTATAATTACAATAAGAGTTCCCAACAATAAATAAATATTAAATCTACTCTATTACACCCCCTCAAGCTGTGCAGGGGAACAATGCACAGATTGTCATGAAGAAGAACAAATCGTTGGGGAGACAACCACTTAGTAAAAATATCTGTCAGGTGAGCTTGAGTAGGAACATATTTCATACGCAGATCTCCATGAGCCACCCGTTCACGAACAAAATGATAGTCTATATTAATATGCTTACTGCGGGCATGATGAATTGGATTAACTGAAAGATATGATGCAGAAATATTATCACAGTAGAGCATAGTAGGGTCGCGAATGGGGAATTCCAACTCAAATAACACTGAGCGAACATGAAGAGTATCCTGAACGGTGAATGCAACAGCTCGATATTCAGCCTCAATGGAAGATCTGGAGACAGTAGGTTGCTTCTTGGAACGCCATGAAATGAGATTAGGTCCTAGAAAAATAGCATAGCCTGAAGTAGAACGACCAGTATCAGGGCAGCCAGCCCAGTCAGCATCCGAATAAGCAATAAGAGCTGGGCGAACACGAGAGGCCTGTAGAAGAAGTCCATGCGTGGAGGTGCCCTGTAGATACCTGAAAATGCGCTTAACAGCCAACATATGTGAAGTACGTGGGGCATGCATAAATTGAGAAACCAAGTGTGTACAGCAAAAGTAATATCTGGCCTAGTCAAAGTTAAATACTGTAATGCACCTACCATACTCCTATACTCCGTGGCATCTGCAAGAAGCTCCCCATCAGTGAGGGAAAGTTTGGTGCGACTCGGAAGAGGAGAGCGAACAGGTTTTAAGGTATGGAAGTGAAAACGAAGAAGTAGATCAGATATGTACTTATGCTGGGAAAGAAATAAACCGGACGAAGTCCGAGTCGCATGAATACCCAGGAAAAAATGCAAATCCCCCAAATCCTTCTTGACAAAACACTTAGCAAGAAGGGATAAAAAATGAGAATCGAGTTTCGGGGAATTGCCTGTGACTATAATATCATCAACTTATAACAGAAGATAAATAATATCAGACTGACGTCGAAAAATAAAAAGAGAATTATCTTACCGGCTGCAAGTAAAAACATGAGAAAGAAGAAAGCTACTAAAGCGATGAAACCAAGCACGTGGTGCCTGTTTAAGACCATAAATAGCTTTACGAAGACGACATAAGTGATGAGGAAACTGGGTATGAACAAAGCCTGGTGGCTGACGCATATATACCTCCTCCGTAAGGTGACCATGAAGAAAAGCATTTTTGACATCGAGTTGACGGATGGGCCAACCAAACGATACTGCTAAGGTAAGAACAAGACGAACAGTAGTGGGTTTAACAACAGGGCTAAAATTCTCAGTAAAATCAATACCTGCCATCTGATTAAACCCCTGCGCAACCAAGCGAGCCTTATAGCGATCAACAGACCCATCAGCCAGATACTTAGTCTTATAAATCCATTTAGACCCAACCACATTCTTATTAGCATCAAATGGAACTAAATCCCAAGTATGATTAGAGATAAGTGCATTAAATTCTTCTGCCATAGCAGCTCTCCACTTAAAATGTTTATTTGCAACAAAAAAACAAGTGGGATCAGGTGTGTGAATAATTGTGCTTAAATTAAAAATGGGTTTGGGTTTAAAAATCCCGGACTTAGAGCGGGTTTGCATTGGATGAAGATTCACAACTGGAGAAGAACTCTGAGGAATTGTGGTAGTAGGCGCAACCGTGGTAGTAGGAACCGAGGATGGGGCATGGTTGGAGGGGACTGACAGGCTGTCGGTTGTGGTGCAGGGGAAGGGGGAGGGGCTGTCATAGGGCGGGCTGTGATCTGGGACAGAAGCAGCAAAGCTGCTTTGTTCCTGCGGGGTGCTGGGAGTAGGGGCGAAAGGGCAGAGGGAGCAGGCAGTGCAGGGATAGGCAAGGTTTTGGGAAGGAGAAATAGATGAGGGCTGGTGACGAGCACTTTGTCACGGTGCATCAAAATAATTTTCAATACTAACACTTATACGTAGTATAGCGTAGTAGAGTTCGTATCCACATGGAAAGGAATAATTCTCTTTTTATGATACTTAGTAAATAAAAGGGGGGATTTGGATTGAGTGATTTAATTTAATTAAGAACTAAGATGAACAACCTATATGTGTTTAATTCAAAGATAAAAAGGACTTGACATTGCTACTTTCCACTTGTTGATATATTTTAGTCGATCATTATTATATCTATAACTTATTCCCTCTCGAATACTCAATCGGGGAGTATATCCACTTCATCGAGGGTAGTTATTAACAACAACCGTTCATTAATAACCCTTACTATTAATCAAATATAGAACAACGCCTTATACCGATTTAATAGTAGCATTTAATCTTTCTAACTCTTCGATGAAATAAATTGAGATTGATAACCTCAACACAACGGTTTCGGTTTAACAAACAAAATTAATCCCTCTTAAGTTTGTTAACCACGACCGTGCATTAACAAACCGAAGTTACTTATTTGTGAAACCATCAACGATTAACCATCGGTTCATTGATCGTTTCTAGTAATAATTAATATATGAAACAAAACTAGTTGATCCTTTAAGTAATGTTCAAAATATTAATATGAAATATGAGTAGGGATTAATTAATATTCAAGGAAGAATATTATTAAAGAAGATGAATCCTACTATAATTAACATCAAGATGTTAACTAATTGTCATCTTAGCAACACTCCCCAACATTATTATAGAGGAAGAAAATACCATTCTAACTAATGTCGAGATGTTAACTAATTATCATCTTAGCAACACTCCCCAACATTATTATAGAGATGATATTAAGGAAAGAACTATCAATTAATATTCAAGGAAAGAAGTTAAGAAAATAACTCACAACTTTAATAATCAACAAGCTTCAAGAGCAACACCAAGAATGGAAGTTTAGCTCCTCATTTGGAGACTAAACATAGCTAGAAAAATATAAAGAAATGCTATTCTAAACTGAGCTTAAGAGTATGAAAGAAGGAATTATTAAAAGTGAAGGAAAAGTGTGCTATTTATAGGTGTTTTCAACACCCTAGGGAGGATACCCGACCGGGTAAAAGGACATACCCGACCGGGTAAATATCAAAATCAGATATTTTCCACGTTCTGGTGATCTTCGGCACGTTCTGGTGTTCCGGGTCAAGTCTGACCCGACCGGGTAGCATAGGGGACCCGACCGGGTCCAGCTCTTTCATTGAAATTTCGGTTGTTAAATCAGACCCGACCCGGTGAAGTCTTCTACCCGGTCGGGTATTTGCTCCTGGACAGTAAAACCTCCTTTTTCTTCACTTCAAAGTCATCCTTTTCAACACCATAATTCCTAATTCTACTTTACAACTTACAAATGAGGATTAAAATACAATTACAACTAAAATCACACAAATGTTTACAAACTAAATAAAATGATAAACAATACACATAAATCAAACATAAAAGTATATATTTATGCACTACTAATTAGTGCATATCAAATACCCCCACACTTAAACCTTTACTCGTCTCGTGTAAACCAAATCCAGTCCACGGAGTCCTTAAAATGACAAGAGTATCAACACAAAAATCCACGAGTGTTTTTAGAAACACATAAAGTATATCCCCAAAAATATAACAGTCAAGAGGGGTTTCAACTCCATAATTCTTTATCAACCTCAAACTTTTTTTTCCGTTACCCTTAGGATCCTGCAGAAATAAAAGAAAATATTTTCTCTCGTTCTCTCATTTTGCCTAGGTGCCCTTTCGGGTTTTCATCCCAGCTTCCCACATTTTTCTGTTTTAATCCTCACAACTCACTCTTATTTTTGCTTTATTTTTGCTTAAGTTGCCCTTTCAGGTTTTCAACTTAACAAGCTTTTATAATTTTGTTTTACAAGAATAAAGAGTATGAATGTGAGTGTTCCATAAAACTCTCTCCCAAGCTCATCAAAGCATTGTCCCTAGTGCTTGTGTCTGAGATGGTTTTTTTATTTATATTTTTTTTTAATGTGTAAAAATAAAATAAAACAAGTAAACGTACCTTGCTTGGGTTGCCTCCCAAGAAGCGCCTTAGTTAACGCCGCGGCACGACGCCATGGTTGTGTTCAATCATTCAAGCTTGGATCGTGATAACTCATCTTCTTCAAATTTTC